GTGATGAATCCCTAAGGCTATTCCTGAAACCATTATTGTACTATATGTTAACTAACTTGGATCTGAATTCAAAAGAAAAAAGAAAAAGAAACTACTCTGAAACAATAAATAAACAAGAAGAACTGAACTTCCAAGAACAATGAAAGAAAGAAGGGCAGGAGGCATAAGACATATAAGGGAAGCCAATGGTTTGCTTGAGGCTTGCAAATGACATCTGAAATTAACCACACGGGAAACACAGTAGAGCCTCCAGAACCTCCTGGTAGGAAGACAGAAGCAGCCTCCCAACGCATGAAAGACCCTCCTGAGCCTTCAGAGGAAGGGGCTGTGCACATCCCTGGGTGTTTCCTACAGCATCTGGTAGGTAACAGTGGTGCTGGCCGGCCATGCTGAACTCTGCCCAGTCAGATGCTAACCAATGAGAAGAGTTTTCTGCTGCACTTTCAAAAAGACTCAATGCTTCTACAATTAAATCCTGAGACATCTCAGGATTTCTGAGCAACAGAACTTTCAAGCTAAAAACCCTTCAAAAAGAGGGTGGACATGGCTGCAAAACCCTGACAGAGAGCGGGGATTCTGCCACTAATCAGCGGAGTTCTTGGACTCCGGCGAGTCATTTAGGCATGCCACTTTTTAAATATACCACTAAGTACACAAACCAGAGGCAGGTTAGTGCTAATGGCATCAGAAGGACGCAGAGAAAATGCAGTGCCTCCTGAGCTGGGTCACTCCACCTCCTTTGCATTTGGACAAGTTGACAATTATCAGTTGGGAGATCCGCGTTACAGACCAATCTCCATTGTAGTTTTTCTATTTAAAATTTAATAGGGGCGCCTGGGTGGCGCAGTCAGTTAAGCGTCTGACTTCAGCCAGGTCACGATCTCGCGGTCCGTGAGTTCGAGCCCGCGTCAGGCTCTGGGCTAATGGCTCGGAGCCTGGAGCCTGTTTCCGATTCTGTGTCTCCCTCTCTCTCTGCCCCTCCCCCGTTCATGCTCTGTCTCTCTCTGTCCCAAAAATAAATAAATGTTGAAAAAAAAATTAAAATTTAATAGCAGAGAAGTTCTAAACCAGGATTTTTTTCCCCCTAAGAAAATATATTATTCTGACACTGAAGGACCAGTGGGGTTGCTTGATCCTCCAAAGTAAAAAGTGAAAAGATTGGTAAGTTCCTTTAAGGGATTTCACATGTCATTGTTTTATTCTCCCAAGAGAGATTTGGGGTTACGATGATGTCTGCTTCAGCATCACCTGGATTAAGTCTCTATTGGGCAAGAAATACATCAGCACTTACGTCATTTTCAAGAGAGTGCATGAAAAAAAAATGAAGACAGCCTAAAAAAAAATTATACGAGCAGGAAATCTCTGAAGCATAGTCCACTCTCTCTGTGGCTCTCAACTTCCCTGGGAACCTCCCAGAAATTACTTAAAAGCCTGAGAGAACACTTACCATGTAGAGACCATGGTAAAGATTAAATTCTCACAGGAAGTTCACTTATGAAGTCTGAGAATTCCACACTGGGTTACCTTTGACCCCACTTGTAATAAGATCTTTAACGATCTCTGTGTGTGCACGTGCCCCCAAAATAGGAAAATCAGGAAAAGAGCAGAAACCAAAGAAATATATAAAGCAAGGTTTAAAAGTAAAGCTCAAAAATTGAGAAGAGCAAAGTTCCTTTGAAACACAGAAAATAAAATGTGAAAAGGACCTCTGAAACTATCAAATGCAGCCTCCATTTAATGGAAGGAAACTGAGGTCCAGAAAAGTAAATGGTCCCACAACTGTTCTAGCCATGAGATTTGTGCCTCCAACAGCCACGGTTTCACAGCTGAGCCAGTGTCCTCAAGCCTTCCTCTCTTGATGAACAAGTCAATATATGCCAAACAGAGCTCTGAATTATCCCCTTAAAGCACTCCCCTCTGCTTCCTGGAATCAGGGTTCACATGAAATTTGAAAGATCACTTAGTTCATTCTCCTTATATTAGCAGAGCTGAGTTTCAGAAATATAACACTCGCTTTTCTTGCCTATTTTAAGATCTGCAGAGAAGAAAAGTCCTCAATTACTCTGATATTGCCAAGATGTATTGCTTCAAAACAATGTTGGAATACCTATAACGAATAATTCACTATGTCATGTCAAATGGGAAATACATTAATTAATCTGGCACGGATCCTGCTCTCAAGATGCCCAGTGACAAGTAGGCAGGTACTAACATACTTATACTATCAGGCAGACAAGGGCTGGGAAATTACCAGGGAGTAGAGAAGATGATGTCATTATTCCTAGCTAGAGGATGGGTAAAGTGACTTAAAGGCAGCTCTGAGACCGGATTAAGGTACACGAAGAAGCAGGGGCATTTCAGACTGGAAACTATGCAAGGCACTGTAAACGTGCAGTACATATGGAGAAAACAAATACATCAGTTTTGCAAAAGCACACATACAAACTGGAGGGTTTGTAGGACGTAAAACAAGGAAGGTAGGGGCACCTGGGTGGCTCATTGGGTTGAGCATCCGACTTTGGCTCAGGTTATGATCTCATGGTTCATGAGTTCAAGACCCACATCAGGCTCCCACATAGCCCAGAGCCCATTTCAGATCCTCTACCCCCCTCTCCTTCTGCCCCTCCCCCATTCTATTTCTCTCTCTCTCTCTCTCTCTCAAAGATAACTAAACATTAAAAAAAAAGAAAACCACCAACCAGGAAAGTAGATTTAATCCAGAGTGTGTAGGACCTCTGGAGCTAAGAACAGATGCTTTTTTTCTTCAACCTGTAGTTCACGAGGTATTGTGCACCTGTCCATTAATACAAAATTTGGGAGCAACACCTGTGTAATGGGCACCAAGGAAAGGCAGTAGGGATGTAAATTTGAGGAAAAAAACATGGTATCTACCTTCATGGAGCTTAGTCTTCATTGGGAATAACAGACAAGTAGTCCATGAGTATTGCACACAAGTATGAGAAATGTCATGACAGCATGCACAGGGTCACACAGGAGGGCAGAAGACTAACTAAAAGTCAGACTTAAGGGAATAATAAGAGGTGTCCCAAAGAAATAAACTGCAAAGATAAGTTGTAGTTATGCAAACAGAAGAGGAGATGCTGGGCACTCAGGTAGAGATAAAAACATGTTAAAGACACCTGAAGGTGTGAGAAAGAATGAAGCATTCAGAATATAAACTACAGTTGAACCCAAAGCTATGGGAAACCATGAAATTATTATGCTGTCCAAAATTATGTTTCAAGAAAATAAATCTGGCAGCAGCATGTAGGGAAAAAAAAATGGAAAGTAGGAAAGACAAAGACTACAAAAACTACAAAGTGTTTCACTCCAGAATCTAGAAAAATGGTAGAGGACCCAAACGGGATTCAGTCCTAGTGGGAATATCATGGAGAGAGAATCCATTCAACTGAGCAAACCAAAAACTGAAGGAACAAAGGAAATGTCAGACACCACACATTTTAGAATGGATCAACCACAACTGAGAACTAGAAAGGAAAGCAGGTATCAGCAGGAAATCTAGCAGTGGGGAAATATGTAAGAGACAGACCAAGAACAGAACCCACAGACAAAGAAAATGAACGTGGAATAAAGGCACATCAAGAAAATAGCAGGAAGAAAGGTTTGCACACTGTGGACAGTGGAATGACAATAAGAAAGGCTTCTGGTGACAAAGATCAATGGTACCCCTTAAAACAGGAGCTCAGGAGAGAAGGGAGAAGACACAAAATCACACAAGACATTGTGAATTACTGGATTCTGCAAGCAGATTACTCTATGGAACTCAAGAAATTTAACAGGGGAGGACCGAAGAGAGGCCAGTAATTTGAGAAGCACCATAGGATTGATTGATTGATTGATTGATTGATTGATTTGGTAGAGGAGACTTAAAAAAGGCTGTAGATTAGAAAAAAAGAATTCAGAAGAGAGAAGGGATTTTTTTCATGTTGTCAGGAGGTTCTTAATTTGCTCCTGCTTTGATTTTAAAGGTGAGAACTTCAATACCATCTTCTAAATGGTGGAGACCTTCCTGTATTGGGGGCCTATTATTAAGTCACACCTCAGTCTTTACAAAAATACCAATCCATTAGTCTTTTCTCATGAGTTTTATTGTCCAAACATTTCATCATCTCCATGGCTTTTCCACTGTGCCCTTCTCCATATTCTATCAAGTCTTCTTTGGGGGGAAAAAAAATCCATGAGACGATCCAACGAATTAATAAAGGCTAAGCCTAGATTGAGTTTTTAAAAGGGTAGTTAGTTCTATGATGACCCCTCTACGCCAGCAGTTTGCAAACTCATTCTGTTTTGTATTCAAAGCAAAGGAATCAGTTCTTCTAACTAAATCATCTGCAAGATAAAAGGGGCTGCACTGATTAGGGGCAAAATAGAGCCCCACTTACTGGGTACTCTTCCTTCCCACTCTATACAAGCTGCTGCTGTCACTCCAAGGAGCCCCAGCGGTCTGAAACCACTGTGTTATGACACATGTTGGTTTATGTGTTATTCACTTTAAGTCACGGTACAGTAGTGCTGCACACTGACCGTGCTTTGTTAGTTTCTAACATTTCTCATGGAATAGCTATGCAAACAATCTTTCTTCCATAAGATTAAAAAAAAAAAAAAAAACAAAACATGGCCTTTATCACCACATAACATGTAGATCTTTACTAAAACCTTTTCCTACCTACAAATGTATGCAGAATGCTCACCAAATCATCCCAGACATTAGGTACTCTTTTCTAAAGAGCTTCATGACAGCTACAAACCTAATGTAAACACTGTCTAGAAGCCAGGTCACCGAGGAACATAGAAACAACAGGACACAAACACGTGTTTCTTCAAATAAATGTTTCTACTTTTTCCCTCCAAAGAAACATCAAAATTAAGAAGGTTCCTCCTCTAAATTTCCTAGCAGCACCAAATGCCAGAATGTACAATCTATAAAAAAGGGATAGAAGAGGATCATAAAAAGTGTATTCATTCACTTTAATACCAACCTAATAAATTTGACGGCCAGGCCCAGGTCAGCTATACAGCATGTTCCGTTTTTCTTCACCAGGATGTTCTTACTTTTCAGATCTCGGTGGGCGATTGCCGGTTTGCCTTGTGTACTAAAGATTTCAGTATGTAAATGACATAAGCCACTGACAGCAGAATAGGCTAACTTCAGCATTGATTTTGTATCTAGAGTGGTGGACTTCAGATAGTCATAGAGGGAACCGTTTTCATGATAGTCTGTAATTAGGTACAACTGGGTCCAAGACCCTGTCCCTTTGATATCTGCAGCAATGAACCCTAAAAGGAAGAAAGACAAAAAGGTTTGAAGCCAAGTGTTTTCTGAATAGTATCAAGAATAATTCATATTCCCAAATATCATTCCTTGTCACAGAGGTGTCTTTGTTTAGTATTTCGTTCAGCTTTATGGGTATGCCTATGACAGTATTAAATTATGAATACCAACCAGAAGCCATCAAAACAGTAGAGGTAGAGGAACATTAAGCGTTTGTACCTGAAAACATGAGCCCTTTCTAGTCAGTCATTGATATTTACGTTATTATATTACAGTAAATAGTATACATACGCCACGGTTTACAAAACAGGCCTGGAGTCAGGGCTTACACTCCATATTAGCTTATACTCTTTCCAACTTGGATGATGCAGGTACATTATTTCTAACTTGAGAAAATGTTTTAAAAATCAATTCTCAATATAAACTCTGGATACGCACACACACACACACACACACCCTGCAGATAAAACTTCTCTAACTTTTCACAACATTTAAACATGTGCTCCTTCAAATCCCTAAGAAACCCTAAGAAATTCTGGTATTACATTTGCATTTGCTGTCCCTGAAGAAAAAATTATTGGAGAGTATTCCATTTCCAGCCCACTATTCATTCACAGAAGTGGCTTAGTCATTCCTCCTGTGAGGTCTCCCAGTAGAAACTTATGACGTTCTTGGGCTCAGGCCAAGAAGAAAATGTCTATATATTTCATCACAGGTCTAGACAGATGAGTTAATAGGCAGATGTTAACAGAAAATAGAGGAAATCTAGGAAACCCTGAATACCGCTGTACCGACTCACCCAAAATGTTTTCATGCCTCATCAACACTGTCTGATATATTTCTGTCTCTCGGAACCAGCTGGCCTCCTCCGTGGTGAAGAACACTTTCACAGCTACCTTTTCGCCACGCCACTTTCCCATCCAAACTTCCCCATAGCGACCTTTTCCAATCTGTTTCACCATCTGAATCTGCTTAGCTATAGTCCTTTGGACCTGTTAAATCCCAAAACACACTGTTAGTGTATTCGCAGCACTACAGATTTGTTTAATCTTTTTTTTTTCCTCCTCCAGAGAAGAAACAATTACTGCATGCAAAATATATTTAGCCAGTAGTTTTTCTTTACATAGACACATTATTTATATTTATTTATTATTTTATACTGTCCCCTTTTAAATGTATTTGAGATTGATTATGGATTCTGAATTTTTGAATTATTGCTTCTACATTATTAAATATTTCATTCTACCTATTATCATTCTCATAGAGGAAAAAAACCTGAATGGTTCACCGTCACTGGCAGAATAAAAACACTTTTCACTCCCACTACTGTAGCGGGATACTGGACACTCTGAAAGGACTCACCCACCATACACTTGATCTTGGATAAATTACAATGAAACACAATTGCAATGCATTGTTGGACACAAAGAAATAAAGGAAATCTCCAAGTAAGAAGGTCAGGGTAGAGGGAGGAGGGTGGGGAGGGGGAGGGAGGGAAGAGCTGAGACCAGAGCAGGGAACAGCTGAGACCAGAGCAGGGAACAGTAACCATTAGCACACACAAAAGCCAAGCTGCTGTCTGGGTGAAGAATAACATGAGCACTGCGATCTGGAATCTAAACTCTGACCCCTTTAAAAGTAGAGAAACTACAAAAATAAAAATAAAAAAAAACGTTGAAAAAAAAAATTAACGGGCGCCTGGGTGGCGCAGTCGGTTAAGCGTCCAACTTCAGCCAGGTCACGATCTCGCGGTCCGTGAGTTCAAGCCCCGCATCGGGCTCTGGGCTGATGACTCAGAGCCTGGAGCCTGTTTCCGATTCTGTGTCTCCCTCTCTCTCTGCCCCTCCCCCGTTCATGCTCTGTCTCTCTCTGTCCCAAAAATAAAAATTTTAAAAAAACGTTGAAAAAGTAGAGAAACTGAACCTAGGGCTTTGGCATTAAGCTGGGACCACTGAGTGACCCTAAATTTGCCTGAGGTTGGTAGCACCCCATGGCTCCCAACAAGAACAAACAGAAATCTTCTCCAGAGAAAATCACTTGCAGAATATTTTTCATCCCACCACTACAGCCAGCTATTAGATACCTTGAAGGAACACTTGCCACCATACAACTCGATCGTGGTAAGATGTAAGAAATAAAAAACTATAATGAATTATTGGCCTCGCAAAGAAATACAGGAAATTCCCAAGGCGAGGCGGGTAGGGAAGAAAGAAAATGAAGGGGGAGAAGGAAGGGAGACAGGAAAAGAAGATCCCACAGAATAAATTCCTTAAAACCAAAAGAAACAGCCACTATAAATAAGAGTCAAGAAAAACAACCCAAGTAGATTGAACCCCTTCAGATTTCAGATACAGGAATTTTCAGACGTACAATGCCACGGAACACTGTATGAAATATATAAAGAAACAGAAGACAAATGAAAAAGAAGGAAGCAGCAAATAATTGTTGAAAATTATACTCTGAAGTGGAACCGTTAATTGTCACAGTCAAAAATGTAACATGGACAGGTAGAAGAAAAAGAGCAGGTTAGATCTGGAGAGGAAGTTAAGCTTGAAGAGAGCTCTAAAGAACTAGAGAGAGCAGTAGAAACAAAGAGAAAGAAAATATGAGAGGAAAGTGGTCTAAGGGTTAAATGTCTCTTTACATATGATCTGCGGCCCATCTGTACTCACATGAAAATATTGTCTAAGAACTCCATGACTGAAATGGCTAAGTATTGATGATAATTTACATAATTTGGGAGGCATATATAAAGAACCTAACACAAAACTCTCACAAGATCTGACCAGAAAACTGGAATGAATTCTTAGCAGAAATGTGCTTTGAATCAAGTAAAGTTGAAATGTTTCTTTTTACGTTTACACTTTTAAGGACCAATACAACTGAGTCCACCCAGATAATCCAGAATAATCTCATCTCAAGGTGAGCTGATTAGCAACCTTAAGTCCCTTTTCCCAGGTAAAATAACAGATCCCAGGGATTAGGACATTTTGGGGGGCATTATGCCTACCAGAGATGTCTACCAACTAGGGTCATTCTGTTTTTGCATCATGGATGATTTTATTAATTCAAGAGGTCATGCTAACCATTGCCAGAGGCATTAACAGCACCCATATCAGACTAGAAGCTTTTAGGAAAAAAGATAAAATCTGTTTTTTAATGATGTTTTCTAAAAGAAGGATTGAAAAATTAAAGCATTGCTGACATGCAATTAAGCCACTCAGCCTGAAGTAAATAAGGAACTCTCCAGAAGAGTCCAAACATGCTATTCAAGGAAATGTTCAATGTATTTCCACTTCTAAATGGGGGAACAGCGGCACCAAGAGCACCAAGCAGCTGAGAGACAAATCCGCAAATAGTTAAATTACTGACTAGGACACTTCCCACATTTATTACAGAAATTTTGTACTTAATTTACAGATGTTACAGAGCACTGTGTATGGAAAGCTACAGAACATTTTCTGACATAAACAGTTTTGCATGCACTTCTTTTCTAACGATAATATAGCTTCTCGTAATTTAATGAATGTACTAATGGAATTGGCAATGCTTGAAAGAATAGGAACTTATCTCAAAGATAAAAAGTGTCACTAAATTATATTCAGAAATTTAAAATGTACTTTAGTTTTGAGATTTATTATAACTTCTAAGGAGGAAAACACTGGAAAACAAATAGGTTTCAGTTCCAAGAGCATAAACATCTGATTCATTAATACTGAAGGGGATTTTCATATTTGTACTTTTCTTTTAAAAAATTATAATATACAGATTTTAAAATATAAGAACCATATCTGCTACATATTAAATTCTAACAATTAAAAAAACAGTAAATTTGATAATAAAAACCTCTACAGTAAAAAAAATATTTATATCCTAAGTAGTATCAGTTTGGTCATAATGACTACCTCACAAGTTATCTTCTGTCTGGTCTATTACCTGCAGAGGACATATTAATCAAAGAGAAAAGTGTTTCAGTTAGGCAAAATAAGTAAGTCCTAGAGATCTGTTGCACAGCACAATGCCTACAATTAACAGTAGTGTATTGTATTCTTAAAAATTTGCTAAGAGGGTGCCTGGCTGGCTCAGTCAGTTAAGCATCTGACTTAGCCTCAGATCATGATCTCATGGTTTTTGGGTTCGAGCCCCGCATCGGGCTCTGTGCAGACAGCTCAGAGCCTGGAGCCTGCTTCGGAGTCGGTGTGTGTCTCTCTCTCTTCTCTTCCTCTACTTGTGCTTGCACTCTTTCTTCTCAAAAATAAATAAACATTAAAAAAAATTTAATTTGCTAAGAGAGTAGTTCTTACATTATATGTTCTTGCATTTAAAAAAAATAACAACAAATAAACAAGACAAAATAACAAGAACAAAATAACAAGAGGGCAGGAGGAAACTTTTGGAGATGATGAATAGGCTCATGGAATAAATTAGGGTTATGATTTCACAGATGTATACTTATCCCCAAACTCTTCAAATCGTATACATGAAATATATACTTTTATACATTAAGTATATATACCTTTTATATCTCAAAAAAGTTATAATTCTTGACTTGAGATTAAAAAAAAAAAACTTTCAGTACTACACTAAGAGGTCATGAAAACAATCAAGTAAATATGATATCCAAAGTCAGAACCAGACAATAAAGATTAGGTAAATCAATCTTAAGAGTTTGTATATATATATACATATAAACTTAAGAGTTTGTATATATATATACATATATATATATACACATATATATATATGTATATATATATATAAAATTGTTATTTTCTATCCCAACAATCTTTTTGCATGGTCTATAAAGGAATCAAATGTTTTCTCATTAAAACAAATGCCTTGGATTCATTGTATGTTTTCTTCAAGTTTGGCGATGTTGACTATCAGAAAATTATACCTCTCATGAATGGAAAAGCCAGGACTTCATCCTGAAACATAAGCCCTCCAGATGAAATGCAGTCTTCTTCCCCTGGAGAAGTACTCAGATCCCAGTTCGTTGTAATACTTTTGCCTTCAAAAGCCAGGCCAAAGTTCAGTAACACTATCCTTACTGAAAGCAGAGGGAAGATGGCTCCATACTTAAATGTTTTCTAATCTGCTCCTTATCAGAATGTCTAAGGGTCTGGATTGTAACCATACACTTACACTGAAAAACAATCACCTTACCCCCAATATGTCAAAATGTTATCAGAAAGCCCTTCATCTGAGATCTGATGTCTAACTGATGGCGTAGAGCTTCTCTTTGTCCACTACCCTATCTGTTTCAGTAAAATGAAACCCCGTACTTATTGACATTTCCTCTCAGAAGACATTTCCTTTAAATTCAGGATATGTTCTTCTCATACCAGCAGAGGGAGGCCTGATCCACTTCCTGAGCTTTGAGACTGCTCAATTAAGTCTCTCAGGGATTCTCCAGGAGGAATGTACGTTTCGTCCTGTTCTAACCCAATGCTGTACCGAGGCCTGGTTTCTTGTCTTTTATACCTAAAGATGCACAGAGGAAGATAATTTAAGATACTGAATTGCAATGATGGGTAAAACACTGCAAACAAAACAGTCATCACAGCAGATTTCATTTTAGCACAAGAGAAGATAAATTTTAGTATTTATTATCCTTACATGATAAATGCTAGTACTTGTTTACCAATACAAGATACATGCTTACTATTTATTACCCTTAGTTATGATTTCCAAAATATAAATCATAATTATTTTGCTAACCTATTTTTTAAGTAAGCTACATGTTTTTTGGTCTCAACCATCTATAATTCTTCTTCTCCATTCAACTGCCTATTTCCCAGCAGGGGTTCAATAATATTTTTCTATGGTTCCAATACTCATTGCCTAAAATTTCTCCCCTTAAGGTCCCTAATTAAAGTTGAAAATTTGGGGTTTACAAAAGACATAACAGAAAACTACTTCATCTATAAAGTATAAAGTAATATACTTCATCTATAAATGTATAAAGTAATAATACAGACAAATGAAAGAAATTTAAACTTTAGAAACATCTTGTCAATAATTATGCCTCCAATTAGAAATGAATTTACTTGAATCAACTCCTATTTGCAGAACAGTATCATAAATGAGTGTTACAAAAAGCAAATGATAAAAATTTAAAGGTCCTTGATATCTCACAAAGTAGAAAATAAGTTCTTAGTGAACAAAAAGTAACTCTCACTTAACTTTAATAACTAAGCTTATTTTAGCTGAATAACTAATAAAAATGTGGCTTAAAATTTTTCAGTATTAAGGGAAAATTGTTAACTTGGGAAATAAGGAATTACTAGAATGATTCTAGGTTCAACATGGCCATTTCTTCACTTACGATCCAACCTTAGTAACAAGTAGCTCCTGAATTCCCTAACTATCCTAAATTCCCTAAGGGTGAAATTTATCTGGGTGGCTTTGATGTCTGAAACAGAAATGAGAAGGTATCTATTAACAGCTTCATTAGGACAAATATTTTCAAAAGTAACTGATAGTATCAGGGAAATCTAAGATTTAATTCGGTCAAAGAAAGCTACGGCGAAAAATAACAGGTGGAACAGTCGCATGAGGATCATATTTCAAACTCAGAATTCTACATCCACATGTCAGAAACTTACCTGAAGTAACAGAATAAAATAATAAGGACCAATAGCAAACTACAGACAGTTACAGATATAAGTAAGGCCTTGTGGTGTATAGGTCCATCAACAAAATCTGAAATTAAAAAGAAAGAGAGCCATAATATGGAGAATATTTTTACTTAAAAATTAGGAAGCAACTCTTTCCTAAAAGCGTTTGCTAAGCCCCATATACAAGATATAAAAGATCGTTTTAATCTGCCAGTTGATAAGAATACTGTATATTGTATAGTAAATATATATGTGTGTATTAATATATATCTGTATTTTTATTAATATATGTTTGTATATTTGTATTTATTAATATATATAAATATATAATTGTATAGTAAATACATATATATATATGTATTCCAAATTAAATAAGTTCAACTACTGTGAATCATTGTTCACCTAGGCATTTATTTCAAGAGCGTGAATTTCTTCCTCTTTGGAAGGAATAGGCTTGACACAGAATAGAAGTATAGAGTATGAATGAATGTACATGGATCAATACCCCCAAAATAGAAGTAGGTAGTTCATCTTTATTTCAGATCCAGCTGATGGGTTTATAGGCTTTTCTCGTGTGATTTCTGGAGTGTTCCATATTGTGAATTTGGATTAAAAAACTGGTCTATATTCTTTGTACATGAAACACACAGTCATCTTATGATGGATACAAAGGAACAGGATTCCTCAAAAGTTGCCAAATACAGAAGATATGATGTGCACCACTTCAAACAAAGATGCCTTTCAAAACTACATTGCTAAATTTTCCATAAATTGCATCATATTTTAAAATAATGGGTATGTTCTACTCAAAGAATTATTGTGTGATCCTTTTATAGAACAAATTATTAAATATTATTCATGTTGTTTTAACTCCAGCTCTTGACAAATCAGATTTACTTACAGCATGATTCTTAAACTTGGAAAGCTTTATACAAATGCATATTTACTGACTGTAACCTCAGAGATTTTTGTTCCAAGTATTTTATTTTTTTACAATCATCCCAGATGATTTATATACAAGTAGTCTCTGAAACATATTTTGAGAAAACTGACCTAAAACCAGGTGCACTTATGTAGTAACAGAATTAGCAGTGTTCTTACTATGGGGACCATACTCCCTTGAGAGAGTGATTACTTTTATTTAATTTTTAAGGGTATTATTGTAATTTATGACTTTGGTTGCTATGAACAAGAGGTTTTTCCAACTGCACTCTATACTTTTAACTGTATGGCTACCTAAATGTTTTGCCTGGGGACCCTATCTCACCCAATGTAACATTTTTTTTTTCACTTAAAAGTATTACATAGTCCATGAATAAAAACTAAAAAGCACCAACTAATGAAATAACTAAAATTGCCATCATCTCACTACTTAGGAAAATTACTATTAGCATTTAACACATGCTTTTGCAGTATCATTTCAATGAATAGAAAAAAAAGCTTATGAGCAAACTATTTCACAAGAAGGCATTATATACACCCTTGTCCGTGGCAGCATTATTCACAATAGCTAAAATGTGGAAGAAACCCAACTGTCCATTGACAGGTGAAAAGATGAGCAAACTGTGGTACATGCTTACATACACGGAATATTATTAGACCTTATTGTGTTCCGATATATGCTACAACTTGCTGACTCGTAAGGACATTATACCAAGTGAAATAAGCCAGTAACTTAAAGACAAACATTGTGTATGATTCCACTTCTACGAGATACTTAGAGGAGTCAAAATCATAAAGAGAAAGAGTAGAATGGTGGTGGTTGCCAGGAGCTGGGGGAAGCTGATGTTTAATGCGAACAGAGTTTCAGTTTTACAAGATGAACAGAGCTATGGAGATGGATGAGGTTGATAGTTGTATAACATTACAAAAATATTTAGTACCACTGGATTGTATGCTGAAAAGCAGTTACAATGGTAAATTCTATGGTGTATTTTACCATAGAGAAAAATTGGAGAAAAAAACAAAACAAAACACTGTTGCTTCAGAACTAGATTGCTTTCGTTAATAATACTGTGAATATTTTCAAAAACAATAAAAATTTTCTCCACATAAGTTTTTTTTTTTTTTTTCAACGTTTATTTATTTTTGGGACAGAGAGAGACAGAGCATGAACGGGGGAGGGGCAGAGAGAGAGGGAGACACAGAATCGGAAACAGGCTCCAGGCTCTGAGCCATCAGCCCAGAGCCCGACGCGGGGCTCGAACTCACGGACCGCGAGATCGTGACCTGGCTGAAGTCGGACGCTTAACCGACTGCGCCACCCAGGCGCCCCTCCACATAAGTTTTAAACACTGCATGGTATATATGCAGGCACATCCTGATTAGAAAGTCAGTCTTCTGGGGCACCTGGGTAGCTCAGTCAGTTGAGTGTCCGACTTTAGCTCAGGTCATGATCTCACAGCTCGTGGGTTCGAGCCCCGCGTTGGGCTCTGTGCTGACAGCTCAGCCAGGAGCCTGCTTCAGACTCTCTGTCTCCCTCTCTCTCTGCCCCCCCCTCCCTGTTTGTGCTCAAAAATAAATAAACTTTAAAAAAATCTTAAAAGAAAAGAATTTTTTTACGAAGTCAATCTTCTAATGCTGTATATTTAGAAGACCATAAAGATTTTGCTCTAATACACTTTGCTGAAATACACAAAACCCTGTGAACACTCTTACAAGTACATCATGACAGATGTCAACGGTGATTTCTTTAATCTAGATTCCCATAAGTACAGTTATTAATTCAACCAATATATATTTCAAGGCTTTCCAAACACATTGTCAAAATTTCCTTTAAAAAATATTACAAAGCTTTATATTTCACCATCAGTGTGACCATATGTTTTAATTATTTTGAAGTAATTTCAGTCTTATATAATAAAACTTGTAAGGACAAAGAACTCGAATATGTCCTTCACAGAGATTTCCCATTTTTAAAATTTTACCATACCTGTTTTATAATTGTCTTGCTCTCTCAGTATGGATGTCTGTGTGTCCATCTTTTTATATATATATATATATATATATATATATATATATATATGCATATATATACATACTATGTATATATAAATATGTATATATATTTGTATTCATATTTATGTTTATTTACTTATATGTATGTATAATGTAAAGATCATCTGAAGTTACAGACATAATGCCCTACCCATAAACACTTCAGAATGCACTTCCTAAGGACAAGGACAAGGTCTTACAAAATGGTAATAAAATTATCAAAATGAGGAAATTAACATGAATACAGAAATTGAAAATAAATCTTACTTTGAAATATTTGGATTTTTGTTATAAACTATAATCCACAGGTCTTCATACTAGGCTGATAATCTTGTCATCAGCCTAAAATACGCTGAACAATTATTCATGATCTACACTACTTATAAAATATTAATGGAAGCAGTCTGCATCTGAAAAGACTAAATAAGACACCATTAAAGAAATGCAGTTTTGTATTTACAACTTCAGAGACACTGCCAACGGTCCAGAGAGTAAGATGTTCAGGAACCTGACCCACACTGCAGGACAGGTCCAAAAAGCCATTTAGGCTTTAACACCAGCAGAAATTATATAAAGTAGCACATGCACTGTCTGGCAAGTGGTGCTTAGGAAATCTTGAAAATAACTTGAGGACTCTTCAAATCAAAGAGGCCAAGGTTTTTACACAATGAATTGCGTAGCAAATTTCCCTCCACCAGGTTACGGGCAAAGTCAACAATAAACCCAAGGTGAGCACAACACTACTCCAGTGAGAGCACAATTCACTGTGTTTATACATACGCAGAGGTACAAATGCCATTGTACATATACATGCAAACACTGTCCCTGGAAACTTAGTTTAAAATGTGTTTCCAATTTTACGGATAACAAGAGCAAAAAGCCTGAGTTTGCAGAAAACCAAGAGAATGCTGGATACTCAATTAAAACGAGAAGAACCAACTACTTAAGCACAATGTATTATCAGTATATGCACACAGAACACTTTTTCATTCCAGTGATTAATTGTACTGAAACTCAGCCTCTCTGCCTTTTGCTTTCCATGCAAATGCAGAGTATACTCTGAACTGTAAGAACACTGTATTTATTACCCATCTTATTAGATTTCTGATTTATGAGAGCAATGAGACTAGAAAGGATCTAAGGGATTTTTTTCCTTAACCATCAAGTGCTTTTTTTCTAAGGCTAGCATTACTCCCATTTTCCTTTTCTTTGCCCCAATAACCCCATCCCCTGCAGCCTCCTTGTCTTCTGTCACGAACAGGTGATCCTTATCAATAAACCTTTTGTTTCTGTTGGTCATGCTGGTCATGTTTTAATCTGCCATTACCTGTGCTCAGAGCATTAACAATGTAAACATTCAAGTCACTGCCAGGGTCTTGGAAAGCGAACACTTCCAGATTCCTATCAGGAAAGGAACAGAGCACACAGTTCTCTCTAGGGCAGCAGAGTTTTACCTGTGCTGTCACTTCAACTGCTCAAGGAAGTAGAACGGAGAACCCTCCAGGGAAGTCTGGTTCACTCTTAGAAGCAAGTAAGAATCACCAGTGGTTTCTTAACAAAATAGCATTCTGTCACTGCTTGTTTTTTCTCTGATAAGTAAGCAGTTTGCGACTGTTTAAAACAGCAGGACCTTTTTTTTTTTTTTTTTTAAGTCCAAAGGATTGTTCCTAATTGCAATAAGACATAGAAGAAAAAACCAGGTCGCTAGGAAAGATCTTGGAAATAAGACTGCCCAAAGATATCTCTGCCTGGGCTCTGATATCTCTGCCTGGGCTCTCAAAATTATAATCATGGATAAATTAAAGACAGCTTTCTATTCATAGAGCACAAAGCGCCTGAAAAGTATATTTTTGTCAGAGGATTTTGGTCAACAAGGGATACTGCAAAAGTATCTTACTTACATCTCACATTGGGATTCTCTCTTATAGTAACATTTAGAAATAAATGGACTATAACAACAAAGATATAATTTACTAGTTATTTTCCTGAATAAAAATAGTTACGATTACACTTCTTGGTAGCACAACAGGTTAAGACAGATTTTTGTTAATGGTAATTTTATTATTATTTTTTTTTAATTTAAGTACA